TTGAATTTTCAAAACATTCTCTATTAAACAGGGAGGTGGGAGGTAGGGGGATGTTATAGTAAAAATGATTATGAATGAGAGTGCTCAATGAAACCTAACCCTTTCATGTTTGCTTTTTCATATAGGGTGACATATGTGATTCTCACTTTGTGAAACTGCTTTTTGAAACAGAAAAAATAGATATAGTACTACATTTTGCCGCGCAAACACATGTAGGTAAGCATTGTTTTATGTTACAGTTATGATTGGCAGTTCTCTCCCGGCCCCTGCCCCACTGCCCCCACCCACATACTTAATAATACTTATATTTGAAAGAGGATATATCATACTGTACTAGAAAAACAGCCACTGTGTCATCAATAAACTCAGCACTTTTTAGATACTTTTATTGGCATTGCAAGGCTGTATTAGTGAAATATAACCTTGAATGCTATCTGAAAACTTGAGTTGAACCAATTCAGGATAGTAAAGGGGAGCAATGGGGAGATGGGCCATCAACTGTATTTTTTACGTTGTTTTTCTTAAATTTTGTTGTGGTATGCAGATGAACATTATTTCTATCATTTTGTGAATTTTAGATATTTTCTAATAACTTGACAGCTATTATGAAATATATTTGAAAGCGTTTAGAAATACAGTCAAATAATGATAATGTGAGCACCCATGTATCTGTCACCTGAACAAAAGGCAGAATGTTGCTGAATCCTCTTCAGTAGTAAGTACTACTGCTACCTATTACGAGATTTAAAGTTGTAATTTCCTTTGCTTTTCCCTACACTTTTGCTGTTGTGTGTATATATACACATATATACGTATATATAAATATATATATACACGTATATATATATATAAAATGACTTTTTTTTGTTTTTTCAGAATCTGTGTAGATTCATCCATGGAGGCGGATATAGATATAGTTTGTTTTCAGTGTCATTCCAGTCTAAAAAAAATATATATACACACCGTAGTTTACTTAATATACTTTATTCTTAATGGCCATTTGGGTTCTTTACACTTTGGAGCAACTTTGAACACCACTACCTTGAACATGTATCATGATACATAAATATACATTACATTTGGCTATATAACTGAGATAATAAGATCTGCATATTTCACGTTGAGATAATGTCAAACCATGTTCCAAAGTAATTATACCAACTTCCACTCCTCCAGAAGTATGTGACTTCCTGTTGCTCCAGATCTCACCAAAGCTTAGTTTTGTCAGTCTTTCCATTTTTGCCAATTTCAGTGCTGTGTAGTGGTGTCTCATGTTTCTAATTTGTATTTTCCCTGATTACTAATAAGATTAAGTACTTTTCATATGGTTTTTTGTAATTTGGATTTCTCCTTTGTGAAATGCTGTTGCAATCTTTTGTCCATTTTAAAATGGGATTGTTTACCTTTTTCTCATTGAAAGAGAAGTTTCAATAAGAAAAAATGGCAAGTAGAGTTTTTATATATTCAGGACACTAGTTCTTTGTCATTCTGTATGTTACAGATGCCTTCTACTCTGTATGGCCTATCTTCTCACTTTATTGATAGTGTGTTTTGATGAACAGACGTTTTCAATGTCAGTATAGTGAATGTGTGTTTTTTCCTTTATGCTTACTGCTTTTTCAGTTCTTAAATTCTCTCCTACCCCGAGGTCATGAAGATATATTTTTCTATATTATCTTTTCAAAGCTTTATAATTTTGTCTTTTACAATTAGATTTGTAATCCATCTGAAATTAATTCTTATATAACACCAATTTCATGTTTTTCCATGTGAATACCAATTGTTCCTGTACCATTTACTGAAAAGTTTACCAGTTCCTACCCTCTGTCATATCAAGTTTATTTTTGTATCTCTGTCTCTCTTCATTTGTCTCTGCCTGTCTGATATGCACTATATTGACGAATACAATGATTTCATGTCTGTTAAAGCAAATCTTTCTACTTGGTTAATGATAAAAGCAGTTGTGCACTTCTACCAGCAATTTATGAGATATTTGCCAGCAGTTGCTGTGTCAGTTTTGTGGTTTTAGTTTTCCTGATGAAGTTAAAAACCTTTTCATTTGTTTATTGGACTGTTCTC